CATCAGGCAGTCACGCCAGTTTCCCAGGGGTTAACCCTTCCCAGGCTTCGAGGTGGTGTTCTCCCTATCAGAGCATGAGGAGAGGCCCCCTGCTTCAACCAGAGGCTAGCACACCACTCGGGTTGTCATCTGTACCCTCTCGGGGTTTGTCTACAGTGGATACTGCTGTCCCCCTTAGCCTGAATACCAGGGTGGTGCTGACTACAAATGATAAACCAGAAATAAGTGAAGGAGCTTTGATGGTGGAGAAGCTGAGTTTGGGCACGGTGCTGGGGCAGGCAGCAGTGGTGTGTGTGGGGGGGGGCGTGGGGGGGCAGTAGGAGGCATGGGTGATGTGGATATTGGCCTTTCTAAGCTCTGGCAATTGCTTGAGGGCGTGTGAGTGGAATTATCCCCCCCCCTCCCCTGTCCCCCCTCCCATCCTGTCCTTGCACTAATTAGGAACATACATAATGGCCCTTTAGAGCAGCAGGTGATACCAAGTTGACTGTGGGTCCCCCTGTCTTCCCCACCCCCTCTCTTTCCTTCCTACTTTCTTCCCCTTTGGGTTCCCTTGGCCCCTGGCCCACTGACAACCCAGCTCTAATCCTTTAGTTGCTCAGGGATCTTGGGGTGAAAAGCTAACAAGCCCCACCCCACCTGTATTTGGGCTTCCTAATGGATGAAGCTTTTATGCCCCGGCCTGCTGTCAGTGACCTATTGAGGCTAACTGCCTGGCTTGGAGAGGACCCCTACCCAGAGCTGTCCAGGACATCCAGGCTCAGGAGTTCAGGGGGCCCCACAGGAAATCTAGGCTCACGATTTCCAGGAATCAGAAATCCAGAAACCAGCTCTGGAGAGCCGGTGGGTCAGGATTATAGAGACTGGAAAGGCGATCATCATGTCTCATCTCCCTCCTGAGTGGGGACACCGGGTAGAGTCAATGGTCCCTTCTGCTTTGGAGGGAACACAGAAGACATCCTCTTGGTAGCTTGGCAACATCGGTCATTATTATTGAAAAAACTTTCTGGGGCAGGTGAAATGGCTCAGAGAGTAAAGGCACTTTGTCACAGAGCCTGATGACATGAGTTCAATACCCACAGCCCCCCACTCCACCCACAGCCCCACCCCACCCCATCCCCACACACATTGCTTAAGGAGAGAATTGACACCCTGGAGTTGTCCTCTGACTCGCACACTAGAGTCATGGCATGTGTGTGCCCCACATAAGATAAATAAATATAATAAAAAATAAAAAATACATATTTTTACATAGGAACATGTCCATTCTTTTTTTTGGGGGGGGGGGGTTTCAGAAAGGGATTCTCTTTGTGTAGCTTTGGGGCCTTGCCTGGCCCTCTCTTTGGAGCCCAGGCTGGTCCCGAACTCACAGAGATCCGCCTGCCTCAGCCTCCCCAGTGCTGGGATTAAAGGCGTGCACCACCAACACCTGGCTTTTTTGTTTTGTTTTGTTTTTATTTTTGTTTTTGTTTTTGTTTTTGTCCATTCTTAACTCTTCAGTTTAGTCGATATTTTTTTATAAAATGTATGTGTGTGTGGCAGATACACACATGCCTGCTCATACATGGAGGACAGAAGGAGACATTGCATGTCTGGCTCTATCTCATGAAACAGGGTCTCTCACTGTGCAAGGAGCCAGGCTTGAGGCCAACAAGCCTCCTTCCTGTCTCCCCTATAGTTCTGGGGGTTACAGGGTGTGTACATGTGTCCATATGTCTGATTATACACAACCTTTTATGTGGGAGCTGCTGCCTTCTTTGTGCCAGTATAGTATTCCGCAGTATACTACAGCACAAGGTGTGTGTGTGATGAACAACTGTGCTGTTTCTAGTGCTTGGTGACTACGCTGGACAAGTGACTATGGGCTTCTGTATGTGGACCTCATGGGGGGAGACACCCCTCCTTTCTATGAAGTAGAAATGCTAGGTCACAGTGTGTATAGATGCACAGTGGCTTACAAATTGTCCGGGGGTGATGCCGGCTTCTTAGTGGTGGCATCTCAGGGCCTGTGAGAGAAGAGTGAGGCTTATTTTTAGTTTCTGGAAACAGGATCTCATTCTGAAGTCCAGGCTGGCTGGAGCTCCTTGACTGCTAGGTTGATGGGCACAGATGTGTGCCACAGTGTGTCATTTCTAGAGCTGGGTGTGGTGGGAACACTTGCCGTAAGAGAGGGATACCAACAATGCAAGGTAAACCTGGGCTACATAGTGAGCTCAAGGGCGGTGTGGAGACCCTACTTAAAAATAAAAAATAATCAAATTTAAAAACCAACAGTGGTGGGGCTAGAGAGATAATTCAGTAGTTAAGAGCACTGACCATTCTTCCAGAGGACCTGGGTTCAATTCCCAGCACTCACATGGCAGCTCACAACCATCTGTATTTCCAGTTCCAGAGAACCTGACACCCATGGCAAAACACCAATGCATATGAAAAACAAACAAACAAAAAACCAACAGTGGTAATCACATCCACAAGGCTCTGTGTGTTGGGCCCTAAAGAGTGAGTCAGTTTCAAGAAGTTAAACTGCTGGGGTGGGAGTGTGTGTGTGGGGGTTACCTTCTATCAACATCAATCCGTTGCCTCTGCACTTGAAAGCCCTTGAATGAGATACAGTTGGCATGGGGTCAGCTCTGGTTTGGTTTTGTTCTTTGGGATTTGGGGGATTTTGTTGTTTGTCCTAGTTGGGATTTCATTGCTGTGAAGAGACACCATGACCATTTCAACTGTTATAAAGGCAAGCATTTAACTGGGGCTGGCTTACAGTTAAGAGGTTCAGTCCTTTATCATGGCAGGATGCATGGCGCCGTGCACAGGCTTAAGTCAGAATCTGAGAATAGTATGGAGAAGAAGCCAAGAATTCGACATCTGGATCAGCAGGCTGCAGAAAGAGAGAGTGATGCTGGGCCTGGCTTGAGCTTCTGAAACCTCAAAGCCCACCTCTCCCTCACCCCCGACACACACACACACACACACACACACACACACACACACCAGTGACACACTTCCTCCAACAAGGCCATTCCCACTTCAACAAAGCCACACCTCCTAATAGTGCCACTCCCTCTGGGCCTATTGGGGCCACACTGTTGCTGTTGTTGACTTTTGAGACAGGGTCACATATGGCGCAGACTGACCTCAAGTCAAATATGTAACCAAAGATGACACTGAACTTCTGACCCTCCAGCCTCCTCAGGCCCATCTAGCAGCTTGGGATTTCCAAAGGGAGCTGTTGTCTGTCGGGAAGCCTAGGTGTCCCGCTCTGGGTGGGACTGTCAGATGGAGGATGCTGTGCTCAGAGCTCCTGCTGGAGGAGGGAGTCCCCGTCCATGCTTGAGTGTTGCCTGGGTGGAAATGGAAGCCACACGCTAAGAGAAACGAGACATTTCATTTGTTCTCTCAGCATCGCTCCCAGATTTGTCCCTAAGGCTGAGAAGCCTGTCCACCCAGTGTTAGCATCAGGATAGCCAAGTCAGGAGTCACAGGGATGAACAGCTGAGCAGTCACCCCCAGGGGTCATCTCCATACAGTCTACCCAAGCCTGCAGCCACCAGCCTGAGTGCAGCAGGTCGCCACCCTGTGTTCCCTCAGACTTTGGTGTCCTGTCGTCTCCTGTCCAGATGATTGCTACCACCCACACAGGTTCCCTGACAAAAGCTCTAGGAAGAGCAACCCCCACTGGGACACTGGGGACTCTAGATGAGGCATGGCTAAGGCCGAATGGGAAGCCAGGAGGCTATCAGCTCAGGGGCCTGACTTAGAGCCAGGTCCAGCCCTGGCTGACGGCCACTGATCCCAGGGCCATCTGGTGTCCATCTGGTCAAATCAAGGGATTGGAAGATGCGGTGGAGGGGGACACCTAGGCCTCCCGACAGACAACGGCTCCCTTTGAGAACCCTGAGCTGCTGGGGGGCAGGGGGAGGTGGGCTGAAGAGGCATCCCCAAGCCCCCCTCCACATCCTGGCCTTACTGCTACCACTGGCATGTGAGTCAGCTGTCCCTGGCAGGGTACAGCAAGAAGGACAGCAAAGATGATCTACCCTGGCTCCTTTGCACCTACCCCAGAGCACAGAGCTGACTTCTGAGGACTCTGGTGGAGCCCAGGTATGCCAGCACCGGTGATCCTTAGGGTCCCTAGTTAGTTTCACTTAGCACTGAAGGTGTCCTACCCAGAGTGTGTCTCTTTCCAGTCCTTGTGGTCATAGCACTCATTGTCCACAGTCCTGTATGCAACTGGCAGGCCTTCCTTGCTCTCCCCGAGTGGCTCAGGGCTTGTCATCAGGCCTGGCCTGGATTGTGTCTTCACCCAGAAACCTGGGCTTAGCCATGCTTAGCTGTGTTAGTTATTTTTGTCATTGCTACGACAAAATTCCCGACAAAAGCAGCTTAAAGAAGGAAGGTTGGTCCTCCCCCGCCCCAGCTTACAGTTTGAGGGTACATATATCATGGCAGCCCGTGAAGCCATTGGTCACATGGCACCTGCAGTCAGGAATCAGAGGGGGCTGAAGACTGTCTCTCAGCTCACTTTCTCTTTTATATTCAGTCTGGAACTCCAGCCCATGGGATGGTCTCTCCCACATTTCCGGTGTATCTTCTCACCTCTATTAAACTAATCTAGAGGGGCTGGAGAGATGGCTCAGTGGTTAAGAGCATTAACTCCTCTTCCAGAGGACCCAGGTTCAACTCCCAGCACCTATGTGGCAGTTCACAACTGTCTGTAGCTCCAGTTTCAGGGGACCCGAAACTTCCCATGGCAAAACACTAATGCACAAAAAATTAAAAAAAAAAAATAATCTAGAAACTCCCTCACACACATCCGGAAATCTGTCGCCTAGTAGATTCTGGATGCTGCCAAACTTGAACTGTCCTCCCTGTCTGTTTTTCCACCATCCCCACCCTGGCACCCAACTGTAGGGCAGTCTAGGCATGAGGATGCAGTACAGCTCCCAGGACTCCCTGCCCCCTGCTGGACTATAAGCTGACAGAGTCCCTCCCTCTTACAGTCGCTGCTCTTCCTGGGGGTGTTAGCTGCCATTGGCCTGGGCCTGAACCTCATCTTCCTCGCTGTTTACCTGGTGTGCACATGCTGCTGCCGGCGGGACCACACAGCACAGACCAAGCAGCCCAACTCATGCTGCGTGACCTGGACAGCCGTGGTGGCCGGACTCCTCTGCTGGTAAGTGTCCCAATCACAGCCACACCATGCATCTCAGCTCACAAGGGGCCAGGTAGGGAGGGGGCACTCAACAGACACATGCAAGGGAAAGCTAGCTTGTGACTAGGACACCCTCATGTCCATACGGCTCCTCACCAGTGATTGGCTACATTCACTGACCAAGCTAACACCTGGGTGAACAAACCTGTCTCCCCAAATGAATACTGTTCCTTTTGTGGTCAAGCACGGGGAATCAGTCCCTAGTGTGGTGACAGGAGTCTACATAGTGGCCCCCCAACTCTTCTACCAGACCAGAGCCAAGCTTGACAGCCACATGGGTCCCTTCCTGAGATGACCAGGTGACAGTGGGCATCTCTTTTCTCTACATCCCCGTCACCTTCTACTGCCAATCTGGGTCTGCAGGATCAGAAGTTATCCCCAATCAGTCAGTCCCATTGTCTCGTGAGATCAGGAGCTTGTAATGCTCATAGGTAGATCTCCTGTGCGGAATGAAGGTTCCCAGCACTGAGAGCCTACCCCACCCACCCAGCCCATGAGGTTCAAGCAAGCTGTATTCAGGAGTTGGTGTGTTTTCCTTGTTTCTGTGTCTGCGGACATTTTTTTTTAATGTGTGGCACCCCCTTGAGATGTTGAAGGTTGTGGCCACCCTCTAAGGTTAGAGCCCTTGCTCCTTGTCAGAAGAACTGGTCCTAGGTTCTAGTCTGCAGGAGGGGTCACCTTACTCCTGAACACTTTTTTTTTTTTCTATTACAGTGTATTCATTCACTGTTTCTCAGCTTTTTGGCCAAGATGGAGAATGGTGATGGGTTCATGATCTCCTGTGGGTGGAAGTGTGGGGCTCACCGAAGCCAAATGATAGGCCATCCTCAGCAGCGAGCAAGGGCCAAGGACTGATGAAACTTGTGGCTGGGGCCAGGACCTACAGGAAAGAGTTCCAGGCAAGATGGGAAGGTCCTGATTTAATGGGAAGGTGATATGACTCCCAGAGATGGACCAGAGCATCCAGAACTGGGGTGCTAAAATCCCTTTACCTGGGTAGGGTATCATGTGATGGCTAAGGAGAGGTGGGACCCAGAGACACACACCAGCAGTGCTTGCTCCAATGCAGCGATCCCTGGATCCGCAGAAAACTGCAGATACTCCCACATTTCCAGTAGGGCTATTGCCAGATAAGCCTATTGTCAGGTACAAATACCATTAGAAAAGTGCATTTAATGCTGGCTAACCCAGCGCCCAAGCAAAACCATCGTAATTTGGCCACGTGTGTTTTGCAGCAGATAAAAATGGCTTTAAGTGTTCAGTCCAATAATTAATTATTACCTGTAGCTAAGAAAAACTCAAGGGGCTGAAAAGATGGCTCAACAGTTAAGAGCACTGGCTGCTCTTCTAGAGAACCCAGGTTCATTTCTCGGCAGCCACATGGTGGCTCATCTGGAGGTAACTTCAGTTCCAGGGGTTCCAACACCTTCTTCTGGCCTCTGAAGGCTCCAGTCTCACAAGTGGGGCCTAGACACACACTCGGGCAAAACATCCACACTTGTAAAATAAAATGGAAAAGAAAAGCTCAAAACAGAAGGGGCCATTGTGGGAGGATTTCTTCCTTGCAGCATTGGACAACTGGTTCCAGGCCAGAGGACATCAGCAATAAAAAACAGTCATTGCTTCTTCCTGTTTTTTGTTTGTTTGTTTTGTTTTTTTAATTTATTTTTTAAGCAAGCTTTTCACGTGTGAATGTTTGACATGCGAACTTGACGCCTCCAGCGATGCTGTGGAGAAAGACGACAGAGCCTTGTTGCAGCAAAGGCTGCTCAGAGCACTTTGTGCTGCTACTGCTTGAATGCAGAGAAAACTGATAGGAGCCAGGCGTAGTGGCGCTGGCCTTTAACCCCGATAGAGGCGGGCAGATCTCTGGGAGTTCAAGCCCAGCCTAATCTGCAAAGGGAGAGTTCCAAGACAGCCAAGCTACAGCTGTCTCAAGGAAGCAATTGTGTGTGTGCGTGCGTGCAAACACTCATCTTTCCCCAAGTTAGTATTTTGGATGAGAACTCCGGGAGGCTCCCCCATTGGTTCTGTGATCCCTGGAGGGGAGAACCACATAGAATATGATGGATGACAGAGTTAAGACTGCAAATGATTTACTCAGGCTGGAATGTTGGATTCAAGCCAACCATGAAACTTCACACAGATGGATTTCAAGTTTGGCTTTTAGTTAAAATCAATAAGACACCATAGGGAAGAAGAGAGACTGAGCCTGACAACTCCTGAGGAGGAATTCTGGGAGGGGCTGTTACAGACCATAAAGTCATTGAGGACATGAGGACAGGCCAGTTCGGGGAGGATACACACACACAGCACATACACACACACACACACACACACACACACACACAGCGCACACACACAGAGCACACATACACACACACACACACACACAGCGCACACACACAGAGCACACATACACACACACACACACACACAGCGCACACACACAGAGCACACATACACACACACACACACACACAGCGCACACACACAGAGCACACATACACACACACACACACACACAGCGCACACACACAGAGCACACATACACACACACACACACACACAGCGCACACACACAGAGCACACATACACACACACACACACACACACACACACACACAGAGCACACACACAGAGCACACATAGACACACACAGACACACACATACATACCACCCAGCTCCCACACTGTGCTCAGGGGTTGAAGAGTGACATTGGAAACCAGGCATGGAGACAGGGGAATCAGGAGTTCAAGGTCATCCTCAGCTATACGGGGAGTGTCTATCTCAGAGAGCAGAAGGCAAGAGATGACAAAGGGGCAATTTGTGGCAGAACTAGAGACCTGTTCCAGCTACCCCAAAACATGAATCGGGACCCAGTGGGTTCTGGGTTAACAAGGCAGACAAAATCTAAAACTTCATAGCGCAGGACTAGATCAGGGGAATGTAGGGAAGTCCAGGGTTCTTGATCAGGTCAGGAGGGACCTGAAGGTTGGCACTGAGCCTGTCAAATCAGATCTCAAGACCCCACCAGGGCCACCAAATCATAACCCCCCAGGCTTGTCTGAAGTTCTGTGCCTTTTAGAAGTATGTTGCCAGCCAGGACATGAAGGACAGTTCACTTTGGTGGTCCTTAGTGGTCACCGTTAGACAATAGCCCCTCATCCCAGTCCCCAGAAGAATAAAGCTCCTCAGCTAAAGTCGAGCCCACACTATGGCTGCTTGCAGTGGTTTTTGTTTGCAGCTCCCCAAACCTGGAACCAAGTCAAAGATATCCTTCAGTAGCCGAGTGAATAAATACACTTGGACACATTTGGACAATGGGATATTATGCAGAGCCGAAAAGAAGTGTCCTGCTGAGCCATGAGAGACACTGGGGACCTCGAATGCCTGTCACTAAGGCAAAGGAACCATGGGAAGAGGCCGTGTGCTGCGAATCCAGCTGCTGGAGTCGAGAAGGGAGAGGGAAGGAATGGGCAGAGCACGGGGGAGTTTTAGGGCAGGGGCCACTCTGATGGTAAATACTTGGCAGTCTAGACCTGTAGCATTTCAACCAAGAGTGGCCCCTGTGCGTGCTGGGGGCTTTGGATAATACCCATGTTGCCACTGGGCGCTCAGTTGTAGCAAGGTCAGCGCTTCATAAAGGATGGAGGACTGTGCCAGAGTAGAGGAACCCTGCACCTGCTCAATTTTGCTATGAACTTGCAACTGCTCTAAATTGTTTCTTTTAAGATTTACGTGTATGGATGGTTTGCCTGCGTGTGTGTCTGAGCACTATGTGCATACAGTGCCTACAGAGACCAGAAGAGGGCGTCAGATCCCCCCTGGAACTTGTAGATATTAAATAGACTTATAGGTGATTGTGAACAGCTGTGTGGGTCCTGAGAACTGAACCCAGGACCTCTGGAAGAGCAGCCAGTGCTCTTAGCCCCTGAGCCATCTTTGCAGCCCTAAATACAATTTTGTTTGTTTGTTTTGTTTTTGTTTTTCAAGACAGGGTTTCTCTGTGCAATAGCCCTGGCTGTCCTAGAACTCACTACATAGACCAGACTGGCCTTGAACTTACAGACAACCGCCTGCCTTTGCCTCCCAAGTGCTGGAATCAAAGATAAACAAAAGGGCTGGGACTGTACCTCAGCAATAGATTGTTTGCTTAGCACGCCTGAGGCCCCAGGTTCAACCCTCAGTACGAGGACAGACAGACAGGAGGAAAAAAGGTTGACAGAACTTACGGACCAAGGAAATAATGGGTAGCATGCTTGCTGTACAAACACTAGGACCCACCTGAGTTTGAGTTCCCGGCACCCACATAAAAAGCTCACACATCCGCAAACTCAGTGCTAGTAATGGGGACCAGAGACAGCTCACTTGCTGCCATAGTCATTTCAGTGAACTCCAGGCTCAGTGCGACACTTTGTCCTGAGGGACTATCACAGAAAGCAGCGGAGGAAGGCGCCCAGCACCGTCTCCTGGCCTCCTGGTGCACTTGCGCACACCTGTGTGCACAAAGAGAGACGAGGGCATTCTCTTCTGGGTACCTCACCCCTAACCTTTGTTCGGGGGTTTTGCTTGTAGTGCTGCGGTGGGCGTTGGTTTCTACGGAAGCAGTGAGACCAACGATGGGGTGCATCAGCTGATCTATTCCCTGGACAACGCGAACCACACCTTCTCTGGAATTGATGAGCTGGTAAGGATTGTGGGCAGGTGGCTGGGCACAGACACAGCCCATGAGATCAGCAAGGCCAGAACAAGGGTGCCAGTCAGCTCTCAGGGGCCCAGCTGCACCCATCAGAGCTGTGTGATGGATGCTGTGGGCTGGGCTGCCATCTGAGCAGTAACCCTGCCAAAGGCAAACGGTTTCTATGACCCAGGCCAAGAGAGATTTCAGAGCAGCTCTGCCCCCATCAGCCCCAGTTAGTCTGTAGAACATCTGGGAACTGCCCATCCCCTGAACGTGGGTTTCTGGAGTTGTTTTGTTGTTGTTGTTAAAGCCAGGGGTCTTACTGTGTAGCCCCGATTATCCTGGAACCCGCTGCATAGACCAGACTCACCTGGAACTTTCCATGACTTTCTTGCCTCTGTGTACCCAGTGCTAGGATTACGGCCAGCATAACCTACTGAGCATCGGTTGTTTGTTTCTTTAGACGGAGTCTAACCTCGAACTCTGTAGTCTTTCTTAGTGGATGACCTGGTGCTTGAATACAGGTGTGCACTACCACGCCTAGTGGATACAGTACGGGAGTTTGAACCCCGAGCTTCATACAAGATAGGCAAGCTCCTTATCAATAGAGCTACATCCTCAGTCCTGAATGTGGACTTTTAAATGTTAGCTCTAAGTACTTTGTACAAAGTTCTGATCCATCCATCAAAAGGGGAAATTAGGGGCCTAGCATGGTGGCACACACCCTGCCCCTTTACGTGGAGAAAAAGTCTCCAGTAACAATGGAAGACCACCCTCCCCACCCCCTGCCTGCACACACAGGTGCATGTGTGCAGGGGTGGGAAGAGTCCTCATAAACGAAGCAGTGTGTCTCTGGACTCTGGGTTCAGCAGCGTTCTTGCTGGAAGCTCACGGTGGAAGACTGAGCTGGACTAAGAGAAGTTAGGTTGCTTGGAGGAAGAGCTAACAGGGTGAGCCTGAGTAGTGTTGAAGTGCGAGGAGCTAGGTTTTATCTCTTTCACCCTGGCCTCTTCCTGCCTGTTACTTTTGCAGAATGCCAGTAGTCTTTCCTGCTGATTTTCTAGGTGATTCCATGTGGTGTCTCCCAAGGACTCTGGTGGGCAAGGCCAAATGCAGACAGATTTCTGGGAAACTAGTCCTCGGGCACCTGACCCTGTCTAGACCATACCCGCCCCTCCCAGAATATCAAAAGTTCCCGCAAAAGGTGCATTTGTGTCTGCAACCTCCACCACCAAACCCAGCCCTAAGCAGAGGAATCAGTCACTCCCCTGGCATCCTCCTAGGGAGGACTCAGCCTCATCTGCCCCCTCCATGCATCTTAAGCTCTGCATCTTAAGCTCTACAGTTCTAAGTCTTCCATCACCCCCGCCCCCCAGGGGCAGGAAATCTCACCTTAAAGAGACAGGCTGTGTTGCTTGGGATGTGCACTTCCCAGTTTTTGTGGGAGGTGACCCCGGGAACTCACCCACTCTTCCTCACCCCGATCCTGACGGGGATCCAGCCCCCAAGGACACCTTCTGCCTGTCCCTGCCTGTGTATTGTCTCCCACTAAGAGCCATCAGTGACCTTGGAAGTGGGAGAAGCCTGAGTGCTGGAAAACCCCAGAGCTTCCCTGAGGGGAAAATGCAGTCTTTATCTTAGGGGAGAAACTTGCTGATATCTGGGAACAAGCCCTAGGGCTCCCAGCTCTCCTGAGCCAGGTTTCAAAGCTTTAGACCTTTCGCCACCTTGTCCCTTACCCTGTGGCTGTTACTGCAATGTGGGACAGCTGTCCCAGGGATTTGTGATGATGCTGTCAACTATGGAAAGTTTATGTCCCTCTTACCCAAGAGGCTGGTGAAGGCCTCAAGGTGTGTGCCCACAGTGTCAGGCCTGAGGGCTCCAGGTCCTTATAGGCCCTCCCCCTCATCCAAGGGGTGGGGTCCAAATTGCAGGTAAATGGCTAAGTGGCATCAGATGAATTACCACCAAGGAAGGTAAACTATAGAGTGTACCCCAGGGGATTAAGATAATGGTGTCATTATTGGTAATTACTGCAATTACCATGAGTTAGAGGTAGGTGCTGGGGTTGTGGGAGGCTGTGGGTGGCAGAGTGAAGCTGGAGACTCACTCCCAGCCCAGATGACACGAAGCTGGGCCCTGCTGGAGCCCAGATCTAGCAGCCAAATAACTAGAGACCCTTCTAGGGCTACCCCCAAGCACAGATGCCAGGGACCCTCTGCATTTCTCTCTTTTGGCTAGAAACCCCCACCATCCTGAACCCATAGGCCCATGGGAAACAGCTCAGTGGAGAAACTGAGGCACAGATAGGTGGCGTCACCCCACAGCTGAAAATCAGTGCATCTCACAGCAAGAACACAGAGCTCAGACCTCAGGTCTTAGCCCTGTGTTCTTTCCCTCCCACTACTACCCTGAATCTGAGATGGTGTTCCGCTCAACCACTCCATACCTGGCCTAGTGCTCTCTCTCCCTCCTAGAGGGTCTCAACCTGGTGTTTGCATCAGAATCGCCTAGAGAGCTTGTCAGGGTATGGCAGCAGGCTCCACCCTGCTGGAGCTCCAATTCACGTTCCAGGCAGGGTGAGAATTTGCATTTGTAATGAGCTCCTAAGTGACACTGCTGGCCTGCAGACCTCAATTTGAAAACCACACCCCTGTTCTTTGAAACAGTGACCTTCTAACTGGTCCTAGTCCCCACATGGTGGCTCACAACAATCTGTAATGAGATCTGGTGCCCTCTTCTGGCCCGCAGGGATACATGCAGGCAGAACATTGCATACATAATAAATAAAATCTTAAAAAAAAAAAAAAGAATAGATAAAGTTGGGCACGCAGCTCAGTTGGTAGAGTGCTGGCCTAGGATGCTGACTTTGATCTGAGGCACCCAACAAATTGGGTGTGGTGTTGAACAGAGGCAGGAGTTTAAGGTCATCCTTTCTATATGGAGAGTTTTAAGCCAGCCTGAGTTATCAGTGACCCTCGACTCAAACAAACAAACAAGTCACTCCCACAAACAACAAATCCCCAAACAAACAAAAACCCAAGAAGAAAAAGAAAAGTTAAAAATTTACAGAATAGCCCAGTGTGGTGACTTGAGCTGAATTGAACTGAATTGAACTCAGAACCTCTGGAAGAGCAGCCGGTGCTCTTAACCTCTGAGCCATCCTCCAGCCCCAACTTGTCTGTTCTTAAGGTCACCCTTGACAGTAACAAACTGAATGCCAGACTTGGTGGCATAGGCCTATGATCCCAGGACTCAGGGCTAAAGCAGAAGGGTACACACACAAGTGGGAGGTAGAGAGCTTGAAAAAGCCGGACAAAGTTTAAAATTTTGCTTCATCTTTTTTTGTTTTGGGAGGGCTTTTTTTGTTTTGATTTGAGATAAGGGCTTGTGTGTAGTGCAGTCTGGCCTTGACTTCAAGGCAGTCATCCTGCCTCAGCCTCCCAAGTGCTAGGATTCTACAGGCCTAAGCCAGCATGCCCAGGTGGCTGTCTCTATCTTGGTGTCTCTTAATCTCTCACTGTTTCCTAAAAACTCAGCTGAATCCAGAAAATGGAAGAAGTGCTGACACAGAGAGCCATTCTCTATTCTAGAATCAGGAAGCCCCAGTGCAAGGAAGACATGAAAAGCCACAAGGGTAATGTCAAGTTCCCATGATTCCCCAAGATCAGAGTGCTCTCCTGGGCTCCATGGCTGTGCCTTCCTCTGCCCCTCTGCTGTGCCTTTATCCTGCAGACTGTGGGAGCCAAGACTGCTGGGTAAGGATTAACTAGGCACCCTGCCCTCCTTCAGCTGCATGACAGTGTCAAGGCAGCAAAGCCAGACCCTGGCAGCATGGTCCTATCACCCAGCTAATCCAGAAGTTGGAGAAGGAGGATCTCAAATTCAAGGTCCAGCTAGACTACTAGCCAGCTCCAGGCTAGCCTGGGCAATTATGGAGGCCCTATCTGAAAACAAAATAAAACAGAAACAAAGCCCTTCCTAATTCAGCTGCCAACATGCTGGCTCTGCTCAGATGGCTATGGGGCTGTGTCCCCAAGCCTAGTGGCTGCCTGAGTATGACATTTGTGACATAAGCTGTACCTTGCCCCTTGGTTAGGAGCTGGCAAGGACGGCCACTGTGTCATCATCCTTTCTGTCTGTGTAGACAGATGTTCTTCTGGGGTCACTTAAGGCCAAAGCAAAGGACAGGTGGGCAGGACAGACATCCCGGGGGTTAGGGGGACATGAGCCCAGGAGAAGACACTGACTTCCCCACTCCTGTCCCAGGGCAAGGATGGGAGGAGACAGCATCTGTTCTCTGTTTTCAAGGCCCCATTGTTCTGCTTTGCTTTGTGGTTAGGACACTACACTCTGATTCTAGCTCAGAGACAAACCCCTTCTCTTGTAGGGTGCCTAGGAACCCTATTGGACCAAAGCACAAGGTGGTGGCCTGGGGCTCTAAGTCTTTGATTTCATAATCCCAAGTGACTCAAACTTTAGGCAAATGTTCAGAGAAGAAAAATGAATTCTTTTGGTTCCCTATTTGGAGTTCAGTTTGAGCCCCGCCTCTCTGAAATTTGGGAGGCCTGAGGTGTTTGGGGTTTCAGAGTTTGGGGGTTTATATTTGGAGTTATTTGTATAGCATTTACTGCTAGCGTGTTGAGATCTGGGTTTTCAGCTGGGCATTGGTGGCACACGCCTTTAGTCCCAGCACTCAGGAGGCAGAGGCAGGTGGATCTCTGTGAGTTCGAGGCCAGCCTGGTCTCCAGAGCGAGTGCCAGGATAGGCTCCAAAGCTACACAGAGAAACCCTGTCTCGAAAAACCAAAAAAAAAAAAAAAAAAAAAAAAAAAAAAAAAAATCTGGGTTTTCAGGCTAGAGAAACTCAGGCTGCAGCAAGGCTTGGATTGGAGAGCCAAGGCCCATGCAAAGCTAGAACGACAGGGCCAGACATGACAGGGCTGTGTGTCTCTGGGTCATCTTTTTAGCACTGTAACAAATCACCGAGATCATCAAATTTATGAGGAAAAAGGTCTGGACACCTGTAGTCCCAGCACTTGGGAGGTAGAGGCAGATGATCAGGAGTTCAAGGTCATTCTCAACTTCATAGAAAGTTTGAGTCCAGCCTGGGCTACTTGAGACCCTGTCTCAAAAATAAAACTTTTTTTTTTTTTTTTTTTTTTTTTGGTCTTTCAAGACAGGGTTTCTCTGTGTAGCTCTGACTATCCTGGCACTCCTCTGGAGACCAGGCTGGCCTTGAATTCACAGAGATCCTCCTGCCTCTGCCTCCCGAGTGCTGGGATTAAAGGCGTGCACCACCAACGCCCGGCCTAAATAAAACATTTTTTAAAATGAAAGTGAGAGGGAGGAAATGAAAAGAAAAGGGCTTGTTTTTGTGCAGCCTGGAAGGTTTCAGCTCTGCTGGTTGTTTCCTTACTTTGGAGCCTTTGATCTGAGAGGCCATGGTGAGCCCACAGAATGGGCAGAGCTGCTCACTTCAGTGTACACAGAGGCAGAGAAAGAGAGAATTCCAGTGTCCTTTAAAAAAAACTATTTATTTTTACTTTATGTGCATTGGTGTTTTGCCTGCATATTTGTCTGATCTTGTAATTACAGTTGTTAGCTGCCGTGTAGGTTCTGGGAATCGAAACTGGAAGAGCAACCAGTGCTCTTAACTGCTGAGCCATCTCTCTCTCCAGCCCCCTCCTGTGTCTTTTCTGAGGAAGGGCATTCCCCAATGACGTGAAGTCCTGTCACCATCCCTCTCTCCAGCCCCCTCCTGTGTCTTTTCTGAGGAAGGGCATTCCCCAATGACGTGAAGTCCTGTCACCATCCCTCTCTCCAGCCCCCTCCTGTGTCTTTTCTGAGGAAGGGCATTCCCCAATGAATGACCTGAAGTCCTGTCACAGATCCAACCACTTATTCACCATTCTACCACTTCCCAGGATCACCAAATTTGGGTCCACACCTTTAAAACAGATCTTTGGAGGGGGGGGGGCATTCCAGACACACATGACGGCAGTAGGCAGTGACCTCTGTTCTTGGTCACTCCCCCGGGGCAGCAGTCTCATGAACTCCCAGGGAGCAGTGTGGAGCAGCCCTTGAAGCCCAGCTAGCTAGCCACTTTCTACTTCCTCCTGTAGAAACCTTCTCAGTGGCTAACCCAGGCCCAGACTCCTATCCCCCTCCTTACCCCACCCCCAGGTGTCTGGAAACACCCAGAGGATGAAAGTGGACCTAGAACAGCACCTGGCCCGGCTCAGTGAGATCTTTGCTGCTCGGGGCGACTACATCCAGACCCTGAAGTTCATGCAGCAGATGGCGGGTAATGTTGTCAACCAGCTCTCGGGACTGCCCGTGTGGAGGGACGTCTCTACACAGCTGACTGAGCTGTCCCACCAGACTGCCTATGTGGAACACTACAGGTGAGGAACTGGGGAGGCAGTGGGAGGGGCAAATAGGGCTACATCTGCAGACCCAGCCACTCCCCGAAGCCTCAGCAATGCGGTACTAAGGGGCACCACCTCGCCTCTACCGTATCTGTTATGTGTTTTTCTCGTTGCTGTGACTAAAGAACTTGACACAGACAACTGAAGGAAGGAAGGGAAGTGTATTTTTGGCTCACAGTTTGAGAGCGTGGTTCATTACAGCAGGGATGCCTTGGCAGCAGGAGTGTGGGGCAGCCAGCTGGTCCCATCCCATTCACACAGTCAGGCAGCAGAGCGATGGTGGTCTCTTCTCTATTCAGTGGTTCTTCCTGCCTGTCTTAGTCAGGGTCACTATTGCTGTGATGAGACATCATGACCAAAAAGCAGCTTGGGGAGGAGAGGGCTTATTCGGCTCACACTTCCACATCACAGCTCATCATCAAAGAAAGTCGCGGCAGGAACCTAGAGGCAGAAGCTGATGCAGAGGCCATGGAAGGGTGCTGTTTACTGCTTCTCCCCATGGCTTGCTCAGCTAGCTTTCTTATAGAATCCAGGGCCACCAGCCCAGGAGTGGCACCACCCACATGGGATGGACGCTCTCCCACTGATCACTAAATAAGAAAATGTCCTACGGCCTGACCCTATGGAGGCATTTTCTAAATTGAGGCTCCCTCTTCTCTGATGACTCAAGCCTGTGTCAAGTAGACATAAAACCAACCAGCATGCCACCTCAATTAATATGATCTAGAAAATCTTGGGTTGTTGAAATGGTTTAGATGATAAAGGCCTCTGGCACCAAGTGTGACAACCTGAGTTCAATTCTAGGACCCCACATGCTGGAAAGAGAAAATTGGCTTCTGCAGATATTGTGACATGCACACACACACACACACACACACACACACACACACACACACACAGTTTTTAAAAAATCTTTCTCAGACATGACTAGAGATTTGTCTTCTGAGTAAGTCTAGGTCTCGTCAAGTTTAATGATCACAGCACCTCACTTAGGTCTCCAAACTCATCTCTGTCTCATCTGGCATCTGTTTATGTCCCTCTGTAACCCCATCCCGGTGACATCACTAAACTCAGGCCATAGACCCCAGACTGGCTGCCCTCCTTCTGAATACAGGGTCTCAGAAGGGTCACTGTTCAGAGCCAAGAAAGGAGCCAGCTGTCTCTGTCCTAAGTTGCCCTTCATCCGAATGGTAGCATGCACTCATGTAATATGCATTCATCATGTGTGACACCCACATCTTTGTGCTCGAAGGGTCACAAGTCCAGTATCATAGACACAGAGTGGGACAGATATGTGGGTCTTGCGTGACAAGTATCAGCTCTTTGCTTTGGATCCCTCCCTCCCGCAAAAGACTTGGCCCTTCTTCAAGCCACTGACGAAGATCAGAGCCTCTGCCTCAACATTGCACAATATACTCTTGTTTTTCTGGATTTGTATCCCATTATACCATAAAGTCCTACCCAGGAGGCTGCTTCTGGGGGCCGAGTCCAGAGGAAATGCGCAAGGCCTCCCCCATCAGACTCCCTTTCCCAAAGGGAGGCACTCACCCAGTCCCCAGCTCCATGTGGGACTCTGGCATCCAGGAGGGGCTCCCACCTCCCACCCCACAGACTTCGAATTTCCTTGATGTCAGAGATATTATAGATGAACAGGCCCTTAGGGTCATTCCTCTGAGACATGGGCAAAATGTCTTCCTCCTGGGGGACTGAGAGGAGCTGCCAGCTCTGAGGAGACCATGAGAGCCAGTGGAGTATCCACAGGGGGTGTCCTTATTGACCTGGCTCTTTTCCATGAGTGCATCTGGCTGGTCCTGTGGGCGTTGTAGTAAAGACCTTGATAAAATGGGTAAAGGTTTTCTATATCAAGTGAGGCTTCTTACTCGGGTCAGGTTAAGGAGCAAGAATGGTTCAAGCAGGCCCCTGAAGCTCCCAAATGCTGAAGGTCACTTCCCCATCTGTGTTTGTAGCTCGCAGGCTTCTTGGTGAGCCTTCCCAGAAAGGCTGTCCAACAGTTGTTATGCTGGCCATCCACTCCCTTCGGAGGGAGCACTTTACTGGGGAGACACATCCAGCTCCAGATCGCAGGGGATAACAATCTGTTACTGCCTGGGGCTGAGATGTGAAGGATGGCTTACAGATGCCGGATGTGGTGGGGTGAGGGGTGAAGCCAACAGCATAACTCAGCAGGCAAAAGCCAAGTTCATGGTGAGAACTCTCTCCCCCAGTTCCCAGGGGCTCCTCTGGGAGAACACATCCGCCCAGGAGCTGCTTCTAGGAACAGCTTACACAGGCAGCAGTTGGTGCAGGAGTTGGGAAAGCACATCTGTGCAGGGTCAGGAGCCCCTCTGCCTCTGGAGTTCCTGCAGATGGGAGAGGAGACGGAAGGAGCAACCCATCTTTAGGTTGGGAGCGTGGAATCCATGTTTTGGAGGATGCTGGGGGAGGAGGGGTGACTGTGTTTCTAGAAGGAAGGAGAGTGTAGGGTTCCCATGCAGCTTCTGGAACTTTTAGCCACCCTGAGTCGCGACCACCTAATCTGTAGCTTAGGATACTAACACTAGATGGATCCCAAAGTTCCTTTTAACTCTGACTTTAAGAAAACTGGCTCCAGCCGGGCGTTGGTGGCGCATGCCTTTAATGCCAGCACTCAGGAGGCAGAGGCAGGTGGATCTCTGTGAGTTTGAAGCCAGCCTGGTCTCCAGAGCGAGTGCCAGGATAGGCTCCAAAGCTACACAGAGAAACCCTGTCTCGGAAAAAAGGAAAGAAAGAAAGAAAGAAAGAAAGAAAGAAAGAAAGAAAGAAAGAAAGAAAGAAAGAAAGAAAGAAAGCCGACTCCTTGGTGGCCTCAAGCTAGTGCCAGGCCAGCTCTATTCATGTCCCAAAACCATTAGCCCCATTTCTAGAACCCCAGAGACCTGCCATGGGGTACCTGCTACTCTGGGGGCTGAGGGTTTCAGTTAAGCCCCTTCTTTTAAGCATCAAACCTCTGTCCACAAACACAAAATCTTATTTGGCTTCTGGGGACCTCCAGCTTGCTCCATCTTCCTCAGAGCCTCTTGTCACTTCCTGCCAGTTCTGTCATGTCCTACTTACACCCAAGGTTCAGTCCTCCCACTACATAAATGTGTAGTGGTGCACGCCTGTAACCCCAGCACTTAGACAGTGAAGGCAGAAATCCTTGGCTACATACCAAGTTTGAAGCCACCCCTGGGATGCATGAAACCCTGTCTTTCAAAGATCAAAAAAATTCGAGGGAAGTAGCATGCCACAGTCTCTAGCTGGTACAGGACACGCTTTCTCCAGAAGCTCAGCCAGGACTCCAGAGGTTAGAGAGGGTGTCCTGGCCCTGACTCCGTCTGAGCTCCCTGATAGTTAGTCAGGAGCAAGCCCTTTCACACAGGCGTCATGACTCCAAGCTCAGTGCCTGACACAAATGTCCATTGAAGAAACCTCTGCACACTACACTGTATATCCCACACAGGCTACACATGCAAGATGGGAGGCCATGAGCAAGACAGGCAGGCATCTACCAAATCGGGACCTCTTGGGCTCTCAGATCTGTGTCTGTAATGCCAGGCCTTACCAGATCTGCTCTCTGAAGGTTCTAGAAACAAAGCAAAGCAGACAGGAGCTGCCTGATTGTGGGGAGGGAGCCGCAGAGACAGAGATCAGTGAATAGTGGTGGACAGAGTGGACAGTATAGATGTAGACTGTTTCTACTGTGATGGAAAGTTCTAGCACCCAGGACTGGGCTAGGTGTTCCACCAGATGGTTAAGGCAAGGGGTAGGAGAGTTTGGGGTGCAGGTACTTGAACCCCTGAGGGCCTGGACTGCTCTTCTGGCCTCCCAAGGGTATTGGGGGGGGGATGAAGGTTCTGATCTGCTGATCCTCACCTTCTCTTTGCCTCCACCCAGGTGGCTGTCCTACCTCCTTCTCTTTATCCTGGACCTGGCCATCTGCCTCATCACCTGCCTAGGACTGGCCAGGCGCTCCAAGTGTCTCCTAGCCTCGTGAGTAGCCCTGTTTGTGGTTCTGAAGCAAAGAGTTGGACTAGAGGCCACCTATAGAGGAAGATTAGGGCCCAGCCAGGCCCTGAGAGTAGTAGTAGCCAGGATGTCTCTTCTGTGTCACATGCCCTACACTCCAGCTGTCACTGTGCTGTCCCAGCTGGGTGTCTTCAACCAGAGCACTGAGATCTACAGCCCTCTCCTAGCTGTTATTGGAGGAGGGGTCGGGGTGGGGGGACCAATGCTTGGTGGGGTGGGGGTGAGGGCCAATGAATGGCCAGGAAGGGCTCCACCTGGGAGGAAGGATGCTGAATTCGGGTGGGATGACTACTGTCCAAAAGACCCTGCCCCCATCCACCCTTCTGAGATCCCAGAGTGTCTGCCTCTCTCCTAGCATGCTGTGCTGTGGAGTGCTGACCCTGATCCTCAGCTGGGCTTCTCTGGCTGCTGACACTGCTGCAGCGGTGGTAAGTGGAGGGGATTGTGGGTAGCCGGTCTGACCAAGACAGTCTCATCTGTCCTGTCCTGTTCAAAGACCCCAGACAGGCTAGCTAAGGGCTCAGTCCCTTACCCCCCATCCCAGAGTCTTAGAACTAAAGAGGTTTGGATCACTTTGACCTGGCTCAGACAGGAAGGGGTTTACCCAAAGTTACAGGGTTTTGGGGACAGAGCCAAGACAAGATACATTGCTTGTTTGGGCATGCAGAGAACGCTTGGGTGGACAGGGAGCTTCTGTGTAAATGTGAAGAGCTAACCTGGTGGAAGCTAGGTGGGTTCCTTTACCTTCCCCCAGATATCAGGTACATAGATGGTGGCGTCTCCCACCTTCTGTCCCTGCAGCCCTGTTGCCCTTACACTTACACATGCTCTGAAACACATGTGCTTCTGAATGCAATGCCTCAAATGTTACGGGAAAGTTAGGGACTTCCTATATGAGAATATGTTTTTAAAAAATCGTTGATCTTGGAGCTGAGCTGCCTGAGCGCTCATTCACTCAGCTGGTGGGGTTGCAGTGTGCCTTGGGCTGCAAACTCGGGGGACAGGCATGACGTTCCCAGTTGACAGTCACTCAGTGGAAGGCAGCTTGTAGGCAGAGCATCATGACCTGGTGTGAATCACTAGTGTTAGGTGCTCGCTCTGTGTGTGTATGTTGCTGCATGCCTGTGTGAGCATACAACTGCACACGTGCTGGGGAAGACACACTTTACTAGGAGATTTACTAGGGAACCACTCTGATTTGAGGGCTGTAAGTCACCCCTGTGGTCTGTTCCTGCTCTGCCTTACCCACATCACACCTTGCCTGGTGTCCCTGGGGCTGGCTGGGAACTCTGGTCTTGGGCACTTTGTCTGTCATTGCCACAAGATAAATGGTCCCTGGTGCCACCTTGCTCTGCCACTCTTGATAGAGACTTACTCAGAAGTGCTGAGGAGCCAGTTCTGGTGACACAAGTCTATGGCCCTGGCTACTCTGGAGACCGAGGCAGGATTGTAAATTAAAGGACCGTGTGAGCTACAGAATGCATTGGAGTCTGGCCCGGGCAACTTAGTAAGGCAGGTCTTCCAAAGGGGCTGGGAGGCTGTGGGGCTGGAGAGATGGCTCAACAGCTGAAAGCACCTGCTGCTGCTCTGGCAGAGGACCCAGGTTCCATTCCTAGCACCCATGGTGGCTTGCAACCACCCATAACTCCAGTTCCAGAGGATTCCATACCCTTTTCTGACTTCTGGGCAGGACACCAGACACACTTGGTACACATGTACGAACATACACACACATGCGTGCGCTCACGAGCACACACACACACACACACACACACACACACACTACTCATACACATAAAATAAATCTAAATGGGTGGGGACTGGAAACATAGCTCAGTGGCAGAACACTTGCCTAGTAAGAAGCTGTAGGTTTGAGCTCTAGTGCAATAGCAGGGGATAAGGAGGGCTGGGGACACTCAGTAAGGTGCTAGCCTACGCAAACCACACCTTGGGTTCGATCCTCAGCACTGCATAACTGGCCATTTGTTATCCCAGCACTTGAGGGGTTAAAGGCAGGGATTTGTAAGTTTAAGACCGTTTTGAGTTACACGAGATCCTGTCTCAAAACCAACCAAACCTAAAGGAAGTGGGTATTTCTCACCCCCCCTTTCTGTGCTGCAACCACACACCAAGGACTGGTGCGGAGAAGACAGCACTGGAGCCCAGGCTGTGCTCAAGACATCCTGGCAGCCTTTGGAGCCGGGAGGTTGTAAACATATGGGGAGGGGCTCCACTGCCCAGAGTGATGGGGACAGCTGCCTGGCTGGCAGCCTCTGCTCCAGATACAAATGCAGGCATAGGGAAGCTTTCCCTGCTGAGCCTATGGGGCTGAGTCCCCTTTCTGGCAGCCTCTGCCATTTGAAGAAGCAGTAGCACCCGGCTTGCCACCGTGAGCTGCCCTTGGGAGCTGGCTCCCTCCCAGCAGGGGTTTCTCCTATCGAGCATCTTGCCCGTTCAAGGAACCCACAGGCCCCTTTATCTGCAGCCGGGTGCCATGGAATGCCAGGGAGCTGGGAGCCATGCCATTTCCCTAATTCCTTTAGTTAGGCCCTTGTTCAGGAGAGGCGGCTGTGAGGGCACTGAATGGGCCTTTGACAGAGCTGATGCTGCAGTGGCATTTTAATAGGAAAAGGGGTAAGGAGGAGCTGCAGGGGGGGGGCACCAGCTGTCAAGGGGTCATTGTGCAGAGCTTTTGTGTTCCTCCACTGCCACCCTGCCCTCTGGGGCCTCTTTTGAGGGTAGTGGGGCCAGGGTCACACCGTCACCCTTCCCCCAACCTACCCACCAGGCAGGACATCCACAGGACAAAGTATGGACACAGATAGTTACAGGGCATGCTGCGTGGAGGGCAGATAGGGACTGGGGAGCCAAGCTCAGAGCCTCCAGACCTGTGGCCCTAGGCCCTCGCCGCTGGCCCTGCTGGCCATTCCCATGTAGTCGGCAATGAGCCACAAACAGACTTCAGGTGCCGGGGGCTCTTTGGGCAGACAAGAGGCAATGCCCAGAAGGAAGAGAGCAGGAGTTGGTGAGGAGTCTCCATGGGTGGTTTGGCTGCAGCAAAGGTAACAGAAGACTCCCAGAGCATGCAGGCCTGAGGGGCAGTAGGCCCACCTCCTGGGTCAGAGGCAGGAGCATAGCTGTTAGAACCCCCAGTCTTAGCCGTATCATCCCTTCATCCCTTCCCAGCAGTAGAACCTCTGGAAAGTTACTGAAGTTCTCCATCCCTCCGTTTTCTCCTGTGTAAAATAGGAGAATGATAGTACCCGGTGCCTCAGATGGCACACAGCGATGTGGAGTAGCCATCTTGGCTTCTAACACAGTCCTCACCCTGTGAGGGTCACGGGGATGACGCTTTCAGATACTTGGGAACTTCCTGCAAGCTCAGCCATCACCTGGGCCAGCTCACCTGGGCTAGCCAATGGCAGCTTCTCCCAACCATTTTACTTACACTAGGGGCCCTCTTCCTGCCATCCTGTCCCTCGTGCCCTTCATTCTGTGCGCCATTGAATGAGTACTGGATGGACACATGCCTGCATACACACCTGTATGCCTATGCACACACATGCGTGTATCACCGTCATTGCTAGATTTGGCTTCTCACAGTAAGCCATGTACCCCCACGATATCTTAACCCACTTTCCCAGGCCTGACCTACTCAGAGATGGAAGAGAAGCCTCAGCATGGGTGATGCCTCATTAAGGTGTTCCTAGCTCCCCCCCTTTGGGTCCCAGTCTTCTTGAGGTGTGACTCAAAGCCAGCGGCCTTACTCCATTTTCCAAGGCCTCTCTCCAGCAACCCCAGCCTGGCTCCCCATCTCTGCTAATCCAACCAAGGGGTGAGGGCGCACCACCGGGCCTGCTGGCGCTGCAGCTCTAACTGATAATAATAGGCTCGGTGATTTATTATGTATGTTGGTGGTTTGTATATAAAACCATTCTCCGCAGTCTTGAGTGCATGTGGGTGATGGCGTATGTCGGGGAGGGGGGTGGTCATGTTTGTGTGGGGGAGGAGATAAATGTCGGGTACTCAGGAGAACTTTTGAATCTAGAGAAGCTTATTGCTCCCCAGTGCCCCCCCCCCATGTTCTACTCCCAATCCCAAAACTCAAACACATGCCCCTGACAAGTACCAGTCCTCAGTCCTAAAGTTGTGCCTGTATCTAGTAAGTGCTCAAAACCTGAATATTGATTCAGTGGGTGAGGGGTGACGCTGCACATGGAGAGAGTCCCTCTCATGATGCAGGACCACCTGAAGGAGTTCCGGGCACAGGAGTCATGCATCAGAGAACTGGATAGCTCCTTAGTACTGGGCGTGGGAGCAAGAGTTTGCCCCAGTTGCTCTGAAAGATGGAGTGCCTCTTTTTTCCAGTCCTCCATTGCACCCCATATCAATTCTAGGCTTGGAACATGGCATCCTCCAGCCACTTCTCTGTCATACAGTCACCCTGACCTTACTGGTCATGTCCCAACCCCAATCCTCTTCCACTGACTCCCTGCTGGTCTCAGCAATGGAATCATGGCCCCCAAGGCCCCAAGATGAACTTCCTCCTAGTCTTACCCTTTAGATGGCAAGTCAGAGCCAGGCATAGAATGGATGACTTTAATCCCAGCACTCAGAAGGCAGAGGGCAAGCAGATCTCCTTAAGTTCAAAGCCATCCTGATCTACATAGTAAACTCCAGGACAACCAGAGCTGCATAGTTAGGTCCTGTTCTGTTTTGTTAAAAAAAAAAAAAAACAAAAAAAGGCGACCTTTTATAGGTTGACCACCAGAGTGTGCAGAGCTTGGCAATGGCAAGAATACAGTGGAGAAGAGCTTTAAGCCCAAGAGCAAAGGAAGACCACTCCAGACTCACACCTGCCCCTGGATTAGTAGTCCTTTGTGAGGTGAATAGTGTCTACACAATAGGTGAGACTACTCAGGCACAAAAAAGAATAAGTCACTTGTCCAAGGTGACAGTAGGAAAGGACAGGGCCAGGACTCAAAGCCGATAATCTGGCTCCCAGCCTCTTTTCTGCCCTGGACTGAGTTAGAGGTCAAAGTGACCGGGCAGCTGGAGCCGGGCTCACTCCTCCCAGTGCCGAGGGTCTGTCTGACCGTCCTCTACCCACTCCTGTCTCCATGACTCAGGGCACCAGTGACTTCTGCGTGGCTCCTGACATCTACATCTTGAACAACACACGGAGCCAGCTCAGCTCAGGTAATGCCCTTTGGGGGCCTCTGTCCCCTAGAGCCATCCCCCAAGCTCAGGCTAAGCCTATGTGATCTGACTTCCTACACTTTACCTCTTCCTGTGGTCACCAAGCAGTCTCTGTTCCCCAGACTTGGCTTTCTCTGGAACACTGAGCAAGCTGAGGGTCTGGTTTCCTGTGAGCTTCCTGACGCCGATGCTCTTGCTTTGCAGAGGTGACCCGCTACTACCTGCATTGCAGCCAGAGTCTAAGCAGCCCCTTCCAGCAGGTACAGCCCCCAAGCATAACCCCACCCTTCCCACAGCCCCTCCTCACTCCCCTCTCCCTGGACTCTGAGCCCCACCGTGTGCCAGGATGGTGGATGGATGGGCATCGCTTCACTGTGGTCCCTCTCTCAGCCATTCTCTGAAGGGGCTTTGCCCTCGGATACTGGATTCTATACGTTTCTCCAATGCTCACAAATGTGCACCTCCCTGGAGCGCTGGTTACTCTGCTAGTGCTGTGCCTGGTGGGGATGGGTCCCAAGGTTCTGCTTTTCTCACAAGCTCCATGGCAAGTTCCATGTAGTCTGAGGACCACATCTGAGTAGCGAGAAGCAAGAGGACCGTGGAGCTCTTAAAAAGCCAGAGGAGAGGGATGTGGGGAAAGATGTCTTTCTGGCAGGGAGGAACATAATCATGCCGTAGTGGTTGGGTTGACCAGATGGCTCGAGATCCGAATGCTGGGGAGCAGTTTCCTTCTGTGAGTTAAGGTCCAGTGTTCCAGAACCAGTGGAATCCAATCCTTATGCCTGTCCCCTGAATCCAGAGTCCAAGAAGCCCCTTACAGTGGGTCCAGCCTGCCCCTCCTATGTATTTGCCTGATGGTGATGGGGCTACAGGAGGACACGCCTCCTAGTAGCTGTGGGAATGGATTCTCATGGGAGGCTGTGGTCTCTCCACCCAGTCGTTGACCGCCTTCCAGCGCTCACTGACCACCATGCAGATCCAAGTCGTAGGCCTGCTGCAGTTTGCCGTGCCCCTCTTCCCTACAGCAGAGGTAAGGGACCTGCGTTCACGGCAGCTGTGTTGGGAGGAGGGGAGCCCTGGTTGAACCCCACCCCTGCCCACCCTGTCCTCTGCCACACTCCTACTTGTATCCCCGCCAGGTTTGGGTGAGCATTCTGCCAGCAATGCACCCTTCACTCCCTGTGGCTCAGCCCTTTCCTCTTTACCCAAAGGCCTCTTTGCACAGCTACTCCTTGTCCTCTTGTATGCACGCCCTCCCCAGCTGCTCACCCTGCCTTCTCTTTCCCTCCTCCTACTTCAGAAAGACCTTCTTGGCATCCAGATTCTGCTAAACTCCTCTGAGACCAGCCTGCACCAGCTGACTGCCATGTTGGATTGCCGAGGACTGCACAAGGTACTAGGTGACTGACCATGGAGGGTGTGGGGTACACCAGCAGGGCACATTCTCCCAGAGAGAAGCCAGCAAAGACCTAGGAAAAGGACTATCTGGACTCCCTTCAAGCCCAGGAATGAGGCTGAAGCCAAACAGTGGGAAGCGGAAAGAGGTATCTAGCTTCTTGATTCTCTCTGACTGCAGGAGAGCACCCCATGAAAGGAACTTACGATAGGAACCTAGAAAGGCTAGGCAGGATAGTTTTAGAACAGTGGAAGACTCTTGACCTAAATGATTCATGTATAGCTACCCACTGCCTCGACTATAGGTGCAAAGCCGTGCACTTTTGCCACCTGTCAACCCATCCATCTCCTTGTCTTGCAAGTCAGCATTTCCATCTCATTGCCAGGATACAATATACCAGACATGCTGATGCATGCTTGTAGTCCCAGGACTTAGAGGCTGAGGCAGGAGGATCATGAATTTAAGACCATCTGGGCTATATAGTAAAGCCCTGTCTAACACACACACACACACACACACACACACAGACAGACAGACAGAGAGAGAGAGAGAGAGAAAGAGAGAGAGAGAGAGAGAGAGAGAGAGAGAGCCAGATATGGTAGCACACACCTTTAATACCCAGCGCTTGGAGGCATAAACAACAAGTGGATCTCTGTGAGTTCCAGGTCAGCTAGGGCTACGTAGAGAGATCCTGTCCAAAAAATACCAAAAACCTAACCTCACATAGATACAATAATGCAAGAGACACTGTGGTTATGTGAGTGCCTCACCCCCCAAGCAGTGAGCCAATGTATGTCAACATCTTCCATAACCTATATAGATTTAGAGTAAACACTCGTGCTATGGCCCATATATGCCCACACTCACACATACACACACACACACACACACACACACACACACACACACACCATATACACTTAGACATAAAATAATAAGCTTTTTTAAGTGAAAGAGTTATGTAATATGTTTCCAATTCTACAACTAGCCACCACCTCATCGGTCTTGTTTGAAGTCAGCCTCCAGTGTCTGGCACACAGTAGGAGGTCAGAAAATCCTTGTGAAGAAGTCTGTCCCAAGGAGTTGTCAGGTGGCTCTAAAGTGAGGACCCTAAATGGCAGTGGACTCAGCTTTGGGTGGGGAGCAACCAGAAGACAGTAGGCAAAGGCAGGAAGGAGAGGGGCTTCCGTGGAAGGGCTCAGATCGTAGGCTTTGCCACACACCCCTCTGCAATGACATGTCCCTATTTCCCCAGGACTACCTGGATGCCCTCACCGGTATCTGCTATGATGGCATTGAGGGCCTGCTATTCCTTGGTCTCTTCTCTATCCTGGCTGCTCTGGCTTTCTCCACCCTGACCTGTGCGGGGCCTCGGGCCTGGAAACACTTTATCAACAGGTAGGGTACCAGAAAGGAGGTGGCCTCCTGCAGCATGGAGGGTTTCTGCAGCGGGACACCAATGAGCTGGTCACCTGAGTCAATGCAGGGCAGCAGAGGGTCCGGCATTCTTGCCCCTGCAGGCTGGCTGGATTTCCCTGAGAATTAAAATAGACCCCTGCAAAAGTAACTGGGCCAAAGACGGTGACAACCCTCCTGGTGCTGTCCAGTATCCCTTGCTCTTCTTCCTAGGCAAGACTTTACAAGGTGACATGCTGAGAGAGGCCCCGGAAAATAGCAGGGAGGGTCAAAGATGTTAAGAAGGAATCTACAGGCTCCTTATGGAGAGAGGCAAAGACAAGATTTCAGGACCTCGGGGATGGACAAGATAGAGTGAGCGGGCCACCTCCCCACCGCCATGCAGCCAGTATGGAGGCTGCCTGGAAGAGGTGGACATGGAATTGGGGTCAGGTGGAGTAAGTTGTACCCCTGAGGATCATGCTTTTGTAGATGCTGAAGAAGATGTAAATGGCCCGAGAGTGCCCTAGGAAGAGAGATTGGGGAGCAGAATAGGACCCCATGGCCTGGAGCCTCACCCCTCATGGCTGACCAACTTCTACATCTTGTTCTAGGGACAGAGACTATGATGACATTGATGACGATGACCCTTTCAACCCCCAAGCTCGGCGCATCGCAGCCCACAACCCGATGAGGGGGCAGCTGCACAGTTTCTGCAGCTACAGCAGTGGCCTTGGCAGCCAGTGCAGCCTTCAGCCTCCCACCCAGACCATCTCCAATGCCCCTGTCTCCGAGTACATGTACGCACAGTAGGGCCCCAGTCTCCCACACCCAGGCTGGGAAGCATAGCCCTCCAGCCCTGGAGTGAGGTTAGGTTTATAGACCGAGTGTTTGGTCCCCAAAAACACATGTGGGAGGCATCAGAGGTCACGGGTTGCCTGATAGGGAGTATCTAGTCACCCCATCCATGCTGGAGAAAAGCACACTATAGGTGCAAAGCCGTGCACTTTTGCCACAAGTCCCCAAGTCAGCCCCAGGCCTGAGAAGCTGCATTTCCCCAAGTCTTGATGCTCCTGGCATCTGTTCCTTGTTAGCTGCCTCTTCTCTGGTTCCCCTGGAGCAGTGGTCTCAAGCTGTAGGATATCAGATATCCTGCATATCAGATATTTATATTACAACTCAAAACAGTAGCAAAATTGCAGTTGTGAAGCAGCAATGAGATGATTTTACTGTTGGGAGTCACCCAACATGAGGAACTGTGTTAAAGGCCTGCAGCGTTAGGAAGGTTGAGGACCTGCCCTATCGTGCTCTTTCCTTTTTATTTTTATTTTTTTTTAACTTATGAGGCAGTCTCACATTGTAGCCCTAGCTGTCCTCAAACCCCCCCTCCCAAGTGGTGGGATTAGAGGTGTGAGCCACCACACACAGCTCCTTCCTGGTCCTACCCACAATCCCTCCTTTCCACCTGCCACCACCTCCACCCTCAACTCCCAGGAACACAAGTTCATGCGCTCACTCACACCTGATCTCTCCTCTCGGCCCCACAGGAACCAGGCCATACTCTTTGGTGGGAACCCGCGATACGAGAATGTGCCACTCATCGGGAGAGGTTCCCCTCCGCCCACAGTAAGTATTCCTTCTGTGGCAGAGTCACTGCCCTGGTCCCTGTCAGGGACATAATCAAAAATAGAATCTGTCAACACAGTGTGTGATCCCCATTGAGACAGAAAAGAAGGCAACAGCTTTGCTATCAAATAGGTATTAAAGAGATTGCCACACATGTCACAGACTATCGGTTTATACCTAGACCATAAAGAAACAAAGCAATCTCACCCTGTTAGATGGTCTCCTGGGCACGGCCCATTGCACAACTGTCCTCGAGATAAATGGCCTCTGCCTTCAAGCAAAAGGGCCAGCGACAGCATTTGTCACACTGACCCATCATAAATCCCCCTGGTAGTTAGGGTAGCCATGCTTGGTTGGTCATTGTTTTTACTCAGAAGGAAAAGCAAATTTCTCATATCACATGACAGTCAAGGGGGCACCAACTTGGAGCTAGGCACTTGAGCTGTCACAGGGGATGGAGGGAGTGTCTTCTGTGGTAATGGCCTTTACATGGCCCTTGAGAAACTGCTCCTAGGGCTAGGGATATGGATCAGTTGGTAGAGTCCCTGTCTAGCATTCATGAAGCCTGGGCTTCAAACCCCAGCACCGGTGTAAAACTGGGTGTGGTGATTCAAGAAGTTCAAAGTCACACAGAGCAAGTTCTAGACCATCCTGAGATGTAGGAGATCTTACTGCAAAAGAAAAAAATGAAAAAGAATGCTATTTATATATCTATTTCTTTGTTCATTCATTCATTCATTTATTTTATGTGCTTGGGGTGTTTGTCTTTACCATGTACAGGCCTGGTACCGGTGGAGGCCAGAAGAGGGTATCAGATCCCTTGGGACTGGAGTTACAGATGATTTTAAACCACCACGTGGGTGCTGGGAACTGAACTCAGGTCCTCTGAAGAGCAGCAAATGCTCTTAACTGCTGAGCCATCTCTCCATCCTCTTATTATTATTTTTTTTGAGCAGGTTCTCATGTAGCCTGACCTCTTAACTCATGCCTCACTATGTAGCCAAGGTTGACCTTGAACTTCTGCCCCCCCTTGTTGTTGTTTTACTGTAGCCCCACTGGGGGCTTTTTAAAATGAATGCCTGACCTTAGGTTGGCTTATTTCTAGCCAGCTTTCCTTAAATTTTCTCAGACACCTTTTGTCTCTGGGTTTTTTCCTTTTCTTACTTCTGTAATCTTACTTTCACTCATACTCTGTGGCTGGCTGGTTGGCTGGCCCCTAGTGTCATCCTCCCCTTGTTCTCTTGCTGTCCTTCCTTCCCAGATTTCTCCTTCTATTTATTCTCTCTGCCTGCCAGCCCAGCCTATCCTTGCTCCTGACTCCCTATTGGCCGTTCAGCTCTTTATTAAGCCATCAGTTGTTTTAGACAGACACAGAAACACGGCTTCACAGAGTTAAACAAATGCAACGTAAACAAAAGTAGCACATCTTAAAATAATATTCTACAAACCCCCTGCACCCCCAAGAACAGGCTTCACAGACACGCCCCTCCCATGGTTTATGTAGTAGTGAGTTAGAGGCTGCACCTTTAAAATCCCACCTTGCCTTCTGCTAGTCAGCTTTCTCGTTCTTTCTATCTCCCTCCAGCTGCCAGGCCCCAGGGACACAGACTGACTTTATTATTAATCTAAGCCAAACATGATTTGGGAAAATCTGCTGCTGTGAAAAAGGAATTAATCACTATACTATGATTGTAAATGAAAGTGATTTTTAGGTTACCTTCTGTCTGAGACAATCAGGCCACTCTCCTTGTCCTTAGCTGACGTAAACAATAGCTGACCTTATTTGCAAGGCTGGAGGACAGAACAGCCCTCATTGCCTTGGCAAAAGGTGATTACCAACTGCCCTGTCTCAGCCAGCTCTGGGGGAAGATTCCCACCCTCTGCCCCTGCTAGGGACATCTGGAGAGATAGGTACTGATGCTGTTGTCCATGGAAACAGGCAGGATGAGGGTGTGGGCATCTGCCTTCGGGAAGGCAGCACAACTGGTGTCCTCC